TATCTACACTCAGCACCATGCTGATGTAACCCAGCTGACCACCAGTTTTTAATCCGTAACATGCACCGTGCTACAGAGGGTGTGTGTGTGTGTGTGTGTGTGTCTATGTGTGCACACGCACACCTTAGGAGATCATTGCAAGCAACATGTCAGCTCTTAACCACCACAGGGTGTAAAGCCTGGGATGTGGAATCAAGTTAAAGGCAGAGTGGGGAGCAAAACAAGGAGGGGCTGTCACACTGTCCAAGTCCCCAGGCTGAGTCCCAAGAGGTTGAGAGAGAGATTTCCACACTCCTGGCCAGGTCCCTTTTCTCACAGGTAATAATCATAAGAGGTAACCTGGGTTTGCGCGCCTGTCAGGTGCCTGTTCTAGGCCTCCATACATACCCATCTTGTCCCCAGACTTTGAGAACAGAGCCAGAGCACTAGTCCCCTAGCTGAGGTCACAGCAGGCCAGTACCTGGGCACTGGTCTCCCACTGTGGGGCCCCTATCTGTCCTGCACTTCAGCCTGAATATCACCCCTTCCCCAGCTGTCCTGTCCTCTTCTGTGTTTCTGGCTTCAGGAAGTGTGAGCCCCTGGCTGTCTGTAGCTTTCTCACCTGACTACAGGGGCACTGAGGGCCCTCAGTTTTGTCCCCATTGGCCATAGGCTCCCAGAAGCTGGTCCTCGGGCTGTGGGAGCCTTTCTCAGGAGAGACAGGGATGACACACACCAGCACTAGCAGGCCGGCTCAAGGTCTATAGCAGTCATTGCTGCTTTCTTCCAGAGACTGAACCCCAAAAGCATAAGTGGGGAGCAGTCAGTGAGCTCTGTCAGCCCCACCATTCTGTCCCTCTCTGCCCTGCCCTTGTTGCTCATTACCCATAGACCTGCGCCCAAGCCACACTCTTAAGTAGCCAGCTGTAGTGCGGAACACAAGGGGAAGCTGACAGACTGTGTAACGTACTGTAACTGCTCATTCTCCAGAACTGTGCTAGCGTGGCTTCTCCTTTGTAACTTTACCTATCCGGTGAATACACCAGGTCAGTCACCCTGGAAAGCTCTTCAGTCTCACATCAGTCCGAAGCCAGCTCTGACGGAAGTGCTTAGTGGCCGACCTCAGAGCCTGAAGCTCCAGCCCGTCTCCCACCCCTCACCAAGCCCCTGTGAAGAGCCAGGCTTGTTACCAAACCAGCAGTGCTCATGGGTGACTGTGTCTGAGAGGGAACAAGCTCAGAACTTCATGCATGCAGAGAAAGCTTTCACTCTCAAATCCCCCACATGACTGGATACAGTCTGGCCACTCCAGACCCCAGGGGCCACACTTGGCCCCGCGCTGCCAGCCCACCATCAGCATCTTCTGGATTCCAGACTACACTCGTCAGTGGAGGGAGACTGAGCACTCCCTGCTGCCCCTCCTGCTGACCTGGGCTCCTGCTCTGTCACCTCCAGATTACAAATCATGACTCACAAACCTCAAAACTGCTGCCAGTGGACAGCAAATAGACTTTTATTCCTGCTGGCCAAGGGCAGAGAAAGAGCCAGTCTCCTGCTGAGCATGAAGGGCTACAGGTAACAGAGACAAATAGTAAAAGGATCCAGTCCAAGCTTTTCACAGTTGGCAGGCTCTCCATGTTCACAGATGAGAAGCAGAAACAGGTGGGGCCACCCAGCCCCTGACCAGCCGAGAGAGAAGGCTCCTTCCCTGGGGAGAATCACTGTCATTCCTGTCCTGGGCAGAAATAACCTGCCTGCCTCAGGGAGGGTTTTCTCTCCTACGCCTTGCATTCAGCACAAGTCCACAGCCCCACGCCCCACTTAGACTGACAAGTACCGAAAGGATGGGAGTGACACCCACCTTGGGAATGCCCGAGAAAAGGGCCATTAGATTCTGAAGAGCAAAATCAGTGTGTGGCATCTGGCAGAGCCTAAATCAGATTTAGCACATGGCGACTTGTGAATGTCAAAAATACCATCGTGGTCTGAGAACATCATACTAATACGACTGACACCGGATGTCACGAGGATGTGTGACAACATCTCATTACCTTAAGAGATATTTTGCTAGGCTGCAGAGTGGAAAGTAGCAATAATCCGAAGGGGGTTTGAAACTGGTTGGAAATGTTCATTACTCACGGGGAGCTGTGGGCCCTGTCTTTGATCTGGTCTGATACTTCAGGACCTGAATGGAGTTTAGGTTTGAGAGCAAATTTGGAGGTGATGTGAGTTAGAGGGAAATGATTACCTTAACAGATAACAAAACTAAAACTGAACATAATTCATTTTGGTTAGCTAGAAAGTAGGCAGTAGGCACAGGGTGACATAGGTTTCGACATAGGCCTAGAGAGTCTCGGCCTGAGAATATTTCCAGTGAAAATTCTTGCGGGTCTGGCAGGCCCTGGTGCCATGGCCACACCAATGCTGTTCAACCTCCCGCACTAGAGCCTTCTTGCACACATGCATGCACTCCTACACATGCACACATACCAAAGCATCCCTGCCACCAGGACATGCCTGCACTATAGTCATCAAAGCAAGACCACAGTCGTAGGCTGGTGGCCGTCTCACCCCCCAGCCTTTGAAGCCGTGGCTTTATGCTCAATTCTGGGCACCGTGTCTTGAAGTGATGCATCCATGAGAGCTCAGAAAAGAGGGCCTGGGCTGGAAGTGCTGGGGCCCGGAGCTCTGGAATGAACCAAAGCAACCAGGGCCCTTATCCTCAAAAGCTGGCAGTTGCTCCACAACACAGGCTCAGCCAGGCAGGGCCCAATGGGCCTGGAGGGCTTCTATGCTGGGGAAGTGAGCTGGAGCACTGAGATCTGACAGGTGAAGAGCAGTGAGCAGGCAGAAGCAAGGGGGCAGAGAGATAGCACAGCACACAGTGGGAGCCACAGGCGGTGGCTAAGAATCCATCCGGCAGGAGCATGACTGGCCCCCTCAGCCAGCTTCACAGAGGAGGAGAGGAGGCTTCCTCCTGCTACTTCGGAGGGCAAAGTGCAGACTGGGAGCCCCGGTGAGGAAGAGTGGGGCACATGGATCCTCGCGGACTCCACCCTGCAGCTGCCGGGCAGTGAAGGCAGCGTCTTCCGCCACAGCTGACACCTGGGAAAGGGAAGTCCTGCCAGAGAAGGAAATGAGGCTGGAGGATGCCTATGCTCTCTCTGCCCTCCTTCGAACCTGGGAGTCTGCTCCAGTGAGCCCTGATTGGAGGCACCCCTCACTCTGGCTCTGGGGGATCAGCACAGCTGGTCTTTGTGGAGCACTGTGGGAGTCTTCATTCCACCCCCACAGTGGGAAATACCCCCCACAGCATCTGTGTGGCCCAGAGTGGAGGCTGTGGGCAGGGACACCTTTGCTTCTGCTGCATTTTTAAATCCTGGTCTTGGCTCAGCCTTGGTTCAGGACCCAGTTAGATGAATGGTACTTTCTGTTTGAAAACACACCAGCTACAACTCCAGCTTCTGAGAAGTGGCCTGTGTCTGTGTTTCCTCCCTAATCCTATCTTAAGGCTCTCTAAGGGAAGAGAGGACTGAGGTTTGCTTGAGATCACCTCCCCCCAGCATCTCCTTGCTGAGGCCATGAGCTCAGGGGCCTTGCAGACCTAGAGGCCCCACCCATCTCAGGCCCCACCCATCTCAGAGGCCTTGTCCTTGGCTGGCCCCTCCCCCACCATGCCACACCAGAGTCCCCTGAGCAGGTTGGACAGGCAGCATTGGACCCGTTCTCTTTCCACACATACTACTGGGTAATTTCTTTCCATCAAAGAAGACTTTTTAAAACAAGTCTCGAGGTCAGTTCACAAAGCCTCTTTCATGCATCTGTCACTGACAGTCTCTGACAGTCTCACCACTTATGAGAGTATCTTTTTGGCATGCATATATATATATATATATATATATATATATATATATATATATAAATGAGTTGTTTTGTTTTGTTTTGAGACTTGAGTCTCGCTCTGCAATTTAGGCTGGCCTTAACTCATTTTGTAGCCCAGACTGGTCTTGAACTCACAACAGTCCTACTGCCTCAGCCTCCCGAGTGCTGGGATTACAGCCATGTGCCATCCTGCCCAGCTGTTTATATTGTTAGAAATGTATATTTTTCGCCAGGCGTGGTGGCTTACGCCTGTAATCCCAGCACTTGGGAGGCTGAGGTGGGAGGATTGTTTTGAATTCGAGACCAGCCTGGGCTACAAAGTGAGCTCAAGGCCAGCCTGAACTGCATAGAGAGACCGTCTCAAAAAGACAAAAAAAAAAATAAAAGTATATTTTAATGCAAGTCAAAAAAGTGTATTCTTATAGCTAGCCCAGGCGACCGGTTTCTTATCATCCACTCTTCATTGGGAGAAGAGGTTGTGGATAAATTCTAGAAACACTGCCTGTTTCTACATTGACCATTTCCTGTACACAAAAGTGCAAGAAATAGCCCTATTTGCAGAACCAGGATTTGTGGCCTACACAGGCTTGGTGCCTCCTCACCCTGGTGGCTTGGGGTACCTCCATCCTCAGCTGTGTCAGTTGCCTCTGCCCTTTACACACACCTGCTGCTGAGAAGGCAGTGTGCTTGCCAGGTGACAGCACATCAGGTCCCCGAGCCAGCAGCATCGAGAGTGAAACCTCCTCAGTGCAGTTGTGTGTGTACGTGTGGACTCCGAGTATCCTCAGTTTTCCCTCCGCTTCCAGATGGGATGCACAGGGGTGTGGCAGTGATGAGCTCCAGCAGTTGATGCTGACCTGCTCTCGAGGCCTGGCCCCAACAGCCACATGGCCCAGGACCCCCTCTTCTGTGCAAAATGGGGGTTACATGAGAAAACGCATGTTTACGGGCCACATACAGCAAGCACTGAAAACTTTGCATCTATTTTTTTTTTTTCAACACGAGCATTCACGTTGAAATGGAAATTAGTTTCAGTTTTTAGCAGTTTCGACCTTTCCCACAAAACTCAATGTGAAGCCTGGGTTGGAGGCTAAGTGGCAAGTTTCAGCCCCTCACATTCCCGCTTCCTCTGTCCACAGGTTGCCCGGCTCATGGAGATGGGATTTTCCAGAGGAGATGCATTGGAAGCCCTGCGAGCTTCAAATAATGACCTCAATGTGGCCACCAACTTCCTGCTGCAGCACTGATGGCCCAGCCCAGCCGCCTGGTGACAAGGGCACCGTCCCCATCCAAGCAGGCCCTGGCGCTTACGCTCTCATGGAGAAAGGGTGGCCCTTAACTCCAAGTCAGTTACCATTATAGTGTCAAAATAAGTTTGCCATTAAATTAGCATGTATTTTCTATCTTTATTTTTCTATTGGACATTTTCCTTGGTTTGGAGACCCCTCACTCATTCCCAGTGTCTTCAGAAGTGTTAAAACCACAGATGGCGGCAGCAGCCAAGTGGATCTCAGGATGGGGACTCGTGGCTGTTGTCATGTTCCCTCCCCTCCCCTTACTTCGGGGCACTGTGCCTCATGCTGCCCGATCATCAGACGGTGACGGGAAAAGGCCGTGTCACCTTATTCTCCGTGGATGTTTTTAGTCACTGCTTTTGTTCCCCCAGCATTGTGTTCACATCCCCTGGCTGCTTCCGTCCCCACACTTGACAGGGGCCATGCAGTCTCCACCAGGCCTTGGGGACAGAGAAGCAAGCGCTTGGCCTGGCCCATTCCAGTCCAGGAGTCCTCCCAACTCCTCCCACTTCCATTCAGAATAATGGTAATAACCAAGTGCAGACTGGAGGTTCTGGAATACTCTGTAACAGCTGGGGTTAATTTTGTTCAGAAATCCAGAATTAGCCACTCAGGCTAGGGGGAAGTAGAACTAAGAGAATAGTCACTTCCTGGACCAGATTTCGCAGGGAATGGTTCTCTGGATTCAGCCCACAGAGAAGGGAGATGCCTCGCCCACCACTGTCCCGAGGCAGGGCGACCCTGGCCCCAGGCATTGTGCCACAGTGGCGCAAGGCAGAGCGCGCTGCAGAGGCTCAGGCAGGGAGAAGGCGACAGGCCTAGGTGGCCCACTGTGGGCGCAAACAGCTCTGGAGCGAGTCGATGATTAGTGTCAGCAAATCGTGCGACTAATGTGTTCCTCAAAGAGCGGCAATGTATCAAATTGATGCAGACTTAGATGTGTGATACTTCAATAAAGTTTTTAACGTGTTTTACTTTTTTGTATTTGTTATTAGACTTCCTCTAAATAAAAAACCTCATTCTAGGCAGTTCCACGTGGGAGGGGGAAAGGCCAGACCACTCATCTTTCTGCAGAAGGCTCGGTGCTTCCTGGAGTGGCCACAACACTTCTGTCCCCATAACGAGCGCACCTGTGGCATCAGCAGGCAGCAACATCACTGAGCCAAAGCCTGGCACCTCGGACTGCCCAGGCCATCGGCCTGCTCAGAATGGGGCTGAGGTGAATTTCTGGGAGCCCAGCTGGTCCCAAACACCCGACCTGACTGGAGCATGAGTTTCCGTAGTGTAGAATGAGGAGTGGTCGTGGAGATGGCCACCTTTGATCACCCACCAGAGCACAGTCAGGGCACTACCATAGCCCGTGCCTCCCCGGGCCAGGAGCACCTGCCGCAGCCCTTGTCATCTTCTTGTAGCATCACACACGGAACACAGGGCGTCCTCACCTCCCGGGACGGGGGGCCTGCAGTAGCCCCACGTGAGGCTCACACTAGAAAGAGGTGAAGGCGCCTCCCTGAATGGGATCACAGGTCAGATGGCCTCGGTGACCTTTTATTTCAGTCCTTGAGAGGGCCCAGAATGGGACTGAGTTGAGGCCCAGCGAGGCAATGCCACTCTCCCACTCCTTAGGGCTCCACTTCTCCTCCCCCTCAGTGTCTCCTGCCTCCCTATCCAGGCCCTGCACTGCCACCTCTGGACCTTGACACATGCAGGCTGGCTTTACATTCCTGCACACATTTGCAGTGCCTTCCTGGGGTTCCCCTGTTGCCCCTCGCCCTCGCTGCCTGCTGATACCCAAACCACCGCAGCCCTCGCAGGACAGGGGCTACCCAAGATCACCCACACTTGGTGGGGAGCCCCTGAAACCCCTCAGGCTGGTGGCACTTCTACAGGAAGAGTGACACATGCCAGAGGGGGGTGTCAGTGAGCCATTCCATCCAGTTTCCTAAGTCCTAGAAAAGATTCAGGCTTTTGACTTTGTGCAGATGGCAGGTCGGGCTTTGTTTCTGAGCCAGCAGGTTCCAGATTGTGAAATGAGAAAAGAAGAGGGGAAAATATCTAGTAAACAACCCCTTCTGAGGGTAAGGAGAGCCTGCCTCGGAAGGGGGGCAGGAGAGGTAAAAGGTGAAACTACGGGTGCATCCCAGTGCCCTGTAGGGTGTTCTCTGGGTCCCGGAATTTATGTCTCTACAGTTATTCTTAAATTCAATGGAAGTGTCTAAAACCATAAACCTAAGACACATTTTAAACGCTAGACTAAGTTATACATATTGTGAGAATCAGTTTATCTCCTGTGCAGTCTTCTACCTGACACAGTGTTTCTATAAAGGGAAGGACCACGTGCCTGACAGAGGCTGGGCTCAGACTAAAAGTTGAGTTTGGAAAGTGAAATCCGCCGTGTGAGAAGAAGAGCCAGAATCCTGTGAATTTCTAACCTGCTCAATATGGCTGTGTCTAATGGAGAAACAACCCCAAGAGTTAAACTCCCGTGCTGCCCGCAGGAGGGTTGGGATTCAGGCAGAGAAGGGCTGGGGCTGGTGGGGCTGGGCAAGAGGCCCACAGAGATGGAAACTGACCTGAAAAGAGGCAGGTTGGAGAGGACACTGGGGCTGCTCTGGGGACAAGGGAGGAAGTGAGGAGGCTGGGAATAGGGCGGGAGGAAGGGGCTTGATGGGCTCCTGGGGGAGCTGGCCCTGGAGGAGGCAGCCCTGACAGGGAGCTGAGAGTGTCCAGGAGGACGGGGCTGCAGGGTGGCTGGTTCCCAAGGACAGGAGCTGGAACATGAAGAAAGCAGAGATGGTGGGAATGTGAGGGAGAGGACAGCCAGTGACAGACTGCGCGATCCAAGGGCTAGGTGGTTGTGAGCAGGAACTGAGGACGGCTGACCTGGGAAAGCAAGAAGGACCCTGGGTCCCCCGGAAGCAGAGGGAAGAGAAGGTCAACGGTAAGACGAGCAAACCGGAAGAGGCTCAAGTCTCAGTTTTCAGATTCTTAACCAGGACGGGAAGGGGAGGAGGGCCCAGGATGGGGTAGGAACTAGGAGATCGGACAGAAGGGAGTCTTGCTGTGACCATCTTTGTTGATCCACTCTGCAGTGTTGTGGTCTACAGACCCCACTGAGAGAGAACTGCCAGGTCCTAGAACCATAGACAGAGGTTCAGGCAGTCCCGAGAAACTCTCCAGGTTCTGCAGGCCCTCTAGTGTTCACAGGGAGGCTGGGGTGTTCTAGAATGTTCTGAGCTGGCCTGGCACTTTGAGTAGACTTTGAGTGGAAGGGGAAGAAGAGGAACCCTGATCCTTGCACAAGGAGTATGGAGAGGGGTCTTTGATAGAAATTTGTGGGCCTAACACCTAAGCTTCTGGCTCCCTGGAGAGCCACTCTGATCCTCACTCAACCACAGGAGTATCTTAGCAACTCAAAGGCGCTGTCCCCACATGGCCACAGACACACCAGACAGCACAAAGGTCTGCTCCTTTACCACAGCAAAATGGGGGGTGGGAGCATTCAAAGCACCGTCTTGACCCCCAGTCAGTTAAACCAGAGCCCAGAGTCCCTCCTCAGTACAAGTAAGGGGACAGCCCTTCTGGATCAGCCATCTGCCCTGCACTGGCTATCACTGGCCCGCTGCCCCAGCCATGCTGAGACCATCTTCCCTGAGCATGTGTCTGTCCTCTGCTGTAGGCGGTCCCATGTCCTTAGAATGACTGAACTAGAAAGTTCTTCCAGTGCAGGAAGGACCAGAGAGGAACAGGGTAACCTGGCTGGGGTCCCATCACAGATCTGATGAGCCTGAGGCTAGGCCTGTCTAGCTGGCCCCTCTCCCTCAGATGCTGCTGTGCACCTGGGTGGTGGGTGGAGCTCGGGTGCCCAGGACGGTCCTGGTCCTTTCCTCCTACTCACACCTGGGCCAGGAGCATGGGTAGCCCTTCATGTGGACAAGCCTTCCATCCTGTGCAGGAGGAGGGAGGCCCTGGGGGACACCTCCCATGGAGCCAGACTCAACTCCCAAACCCAGCACATCAGCCCCAAGCCACACATGTGCTTGTGAAACATTGCATGGAAAACCAGGTACAAGCTCCAAAGCTAGCTCCTAGCTCCAAAAATGATGTCCCTCAAATTCATGAAATGTCTCCCCCTAAAATTTATTAAGGACACTTGGCCATTGCCAAGATACCAACGAGAGACTCAGGGGGCAGGGAGGACTGCCAACCTTGAACGCACGGAACATTGGCTTCTCCCTGGCCTGTCCCCTGGAATTCTGGCTTTAACACCATGTGGCTCCCAGGCCCACCACCACACTCTGCTCTTAGACGAGAGTTTCCTTAGGCGAACACCAGCAAGAGGTCTCACGGGTAACCCACACAGAATCAAAAAGCCACTAAAGTTACAGAAAGACAAGCTGGTGTGGTGATGAAGGCCTATTACCTGAGCCCAGGGAGGCAGAGGCAGGAGGACTGCTGTAAGTTTGAGACCAACCTGGACTATATAGTGAGACCTTGTCTCAAAAAACCAAACAAAAAAGATACAATAAGATAAGACACATGACAAAACCCATGAACTCATGGGGAAATCAGGGCTCTGATAAACTTACCGGTCTCCCACTCAGAAATCACAGTCCTTAGAGCTTCCAGGGACATCAAAGGTCATCTGGACTAATGTGCCCACCATGCAGATGAAGCCAGCTTCCAGGGCGGCCAGCGACTCCCTGCAGCTACCTCGGTGCCGTGCTATCAAGATCAGGCCCCTTTGGCCCAGATGCTGGCAGGAAGAAGGAGGCATCCCACAAGGACCTGGGACCCAGGGCTCCTCCTCGTTCTCTTCCAGGGCCCTGGTTCTCTTGCTGTGCCCCAGCAGGTGTGCGTGAGACTTTTCAGTCCCATCTCCGCAGTCGGGCAGGACTCTGAGAATAGAAATGCTGAACAAGAGGATAAACCAAGAGATAAGAGTAACAGACTTCTGCAGAAGTGCTCAGCAAGCCAGAAAATATTGGCAAGGTCACAGGACAGTGAGAAGAATATTCTCAAGCTTGTGGGACAGACCTCCGTGAGAAATTCGGTCAGTACATTCAGGTCATGAACCTGACCTAGAGAGGAGAAATGTGGCCAAACTCGACCGTATGCTGCCTGGGCTCTCTCACAGGCACCACCTGCCACTCCCAAGCCCCCAGGCCAGTCACCCAACCTTGGGCCACCTGAGGGTCACTTCCCATGTGACTGTGGGGAAAGCATGTGAAGACATGCATGTAGGACAGCAGGTAAAGTGGGGCTCTAGGAGGCGCCTGGGAGATAAATGGCATAAAAATTTGCTTTATTTTTATTTCCTTCACCAGCTGATGGGACATGTGAAGTTTGACAGGCGAAGAAGAACGATTCATTTTCCTCAGAAAGATAAAGAATGCTCCATTAGCCACACACGGTGGTGCACACCTGTAATCCCAGCACTTGGGAGGCTGAGGCAGGAGGATCACTGTAAGTTTGAGGCCAGCCTGGGCTACATAGTAAGACCCTGTCTAAAAGTATATGTGTGTATTAGAATACTCCATTCTCCAATTTCCTCTGTGATTCCTGCTAAAAGATAAATTTCCTGAAACAAATCTTGACACTATCATTTGCTCAGCTCCCTAACATCTGGCTTGTGTCTTGCCAACGACAGTTGTCTCCTGATCTGTCGATCTTGTCACACCTGAGTCACAAGGACACCTGTATTCAAAGCAGCTTCCCTGATTTCCCTCTGGCAGCAGTGGCCCCTCGTGCCTTCTAAATCTGTCCCTTTCCCTATGCCTCTCTTCTGGCTTCCTGCCTTGTGTGCTGCTTAATGTCAGACACTTCCACTGGATGCAGTTTCTTGGCGCCCTGGGGCACCCAAGTCCACCTTCTACTTCCAAACTCCAACTTGCCCCGTACCCCCCAGTTCAGAAAATGATCCATCTTACCGGCCCGCCCCAAACCAGGGAGCCTTTCACGCGGCCTCCTGCCA